TTGAAATAAGTACTAGATATAGATAAGAATATTAGTATAAGCTGGACATATTTAAACAGAATATGAAGAATCGAAATAAACTAATGTATGAAATAAGTACTAGATATAGATAAGAATATTAGTATAAGCTGGACATATTTAAACAGAATATGAAGAATCGAAATAAACCAATGTATTGAATGGGTACTGAATTTGGATAAAAACATAACTTTGAACTGGACACATTTGGACATGATGTAAATGAATTAAACAATCAATTGATATAAAGATTTTGATCATAAGGGTTCTAGACTACCAACAAATCAATACACAATATATATCCAATATCGTGGAAGTAAGTATTTGCATTTACATTTGTCTGTGTATCTCTGCTCGTGGTATATGCTTGACAAATCTTTGTCATACATTTTTTGAGATTTGATTCGCATCTTAAATTTTCAAGAAGAAAACTGTAGAGTTTTGGTCCTAAATACCGGAAGGATTTCTGCCCAACTGACTTGAGCATTAATGGTATGACGATACTATGATTCCGAAGTGTAGCATATTTATGGTGATATGTAGTTAATTCTTTTTTGTTTTCATGCTGTACAGCAGTACATCATGAAAACAAATCATCAAATGGGATCAAATATTCCAGATTTTGAATGAAGTAGATCGCTAGGGTAGTCGTAACCTTTCCTTAGGATACATCTGATAAATCTATTCTTATACCTCAAGGGATTATAGATGAGTTTTCGATGCTCCACCCTAACCATTATACCATATCTCAGATATGTGATTCCCTATTATCTGCTGAGCTGGAAGCGATCCAAAAGGACTCTCCGAAACGTTTATTTCTTCGAAAGGGACTATCATTTATCCAGAATCAGGAAAGTAATTTGTTATGCCTTTCTTTGACCAAACTCATTGTCTCCGTTAATTATTATCATGTGAATTATGGTCATTTTGAAGTTTACAAAACTTGGTCCTCTTTGAAAGCAGACCTTGATTACCTAACCTTCATGCTTACGTTAAACGTATCATAAAAGGCTGGGAAGTATGCCAAAAAGCTAAGATTACAGTATTGCCCAGAACCGCTTTAGAAGCGGTATTTTCGAAAAAGTTAAATGACCTGTTAGTTGGATTTACTGCTTTTTTTGTGATTCACTCAAAGATCGACAAGTTAGTGTCACTTTGGTTTCTTCTATATGTTGAGTGATTTCTTTCGTTAGCTCTTGCTCTCATGTCATTGTCATACCAAGGGACATCATTTATTTTGTATTCCACAGTGTCAACTGCAACAAACTCATTATCATATGAAGGGTATTTTCAGGTCTTTTGGCCGTGGTCTGTAGGTTTTTATGTCTGACGTTTCGTCTACTGCTGCGGTAGACATTTTAAGGCGATGTGGTAACGGTCGCAATACCCGATATGGTGCTCTAGTTCTTGTTCCTGTTGTATCCACCGCATTACTTACTGTTTCCGTACTGCCGCTCTATTTATTTGTTTTACCCGTTCGTGATCCTCTAAGGATAGGTAGCCAGCTTTTCTTGATATTCGTTGTCTCTTATTTTCTATTGAAATCATTCCTATGCTTTTGAATCTCTATTGCTTCTCTATATATTCTTGAATAGTAATTTTGGGTACTGTCAAATATTACTGTATCTTCAAATGAGATAATGTGGGTACCTTCTTTTTTGAGATCATGTTTGGCCACAGCCGACTTGTCGGTTTATCCGAGGCGACAGTTTCTCTGGTGTTCGGAGAGACGGGTCCCTATACTTCATTTCGTTGTTTCGATGTAGACCGACCCGCAGTTACACGGGATCCGGTATACCCCTGGTGTTGCTAGAGGTTCTCTAGGGTTCTTCGCTGACCTGAGGCTTTGCCTGATGGTTTTTCTTGGCCCGAATATTGGTTTCACGTCGTGTTCAACGTCGTGTTCAACTTCAAGATTATACCAATCCGATCTGTGACATTTTTTACATAGAGATGGAAAGTTTTTCCTTTGAATGGCCTGGCTGGGGTTGCTTTGACATTCTCTCTCCTGGGTCGTACGGCCCGCTAGAATTCCCTTTAGCTGTACCCATTACGTTCAAAAGCATTTATCAAGTGATTTAGTTCTTCAGACAGACCCTCAGGTTTACAGATTCGTCGTGTTCCTTCAACCAACGTTTGAATTACCCCTCTCTTTTGTTGTGGCTGGTGGTTCGAGTTTTTGTTCAGGTATCTGTGTGTGTGCGTTGGTTTTCTGTACACTCGGTGGCCCAGTGTATCGTCTTCAAGTCTGTTTACAAGAATATATAAGAAGGCTAGAGTCCCTTGGATTTCTCGTTCCAATGTGAATTGGATTTTTTGGTGAGTGCGGAAAATCTTATATCGGTGAAACTAAGAGGCCATTGAATGTTCGCATTGCCGAGCATTTCAAATCATTTTATATAATATCAGAAAATGGAAGTCCGAAGTAATGAAATTCAAAGAGAATCACATTGTTAGCTCTTTTTTTTCTGTCATCGTGATCATTTCATATACACGTAAAATCACTAGCTTGGCTTCATTCTTTTTCTGTATCGCACAGAGTATTTTTCATGTCACTGAGTCCTCATACGTTCCAGAAGCCATTCTCACATTCCTCACACAAAAAATGGTTTTCCTTTTGTTTTCAATTGTGAACATTCACATTCAGAGGTTGTCAGGTCGATACGACTTTCACATATTTTTTTGCAGCTATAACATTGGAATAGTTGATTTGCATCAACGGAATTTTTACATTTGCGACAATTCTCCATTTTTTGTTTTCATTTTTCTCTTTAGGCACGTCACTGGAATTTGTTTATCTCTGTGATTTTCCACCAATTCTAGATATTAATATTTCTCTGTTTACACTATTGCTCATAAGAATTTTCATCAACTATATAACATCAACTCACTTAGTCACTATATTAGGTATGAAGACGCTTTATAAAACAATAGTTCTCTATAGATTGATACGTTTCGAAATTTTTTGAAAGCATTCACCAATATGAAAACTCATTTGAGTCGGAGTATTTGGACAATACGTGTTTCGCCATACAATGGCTTCCTCGGGCGTGTCTTAATAACTAATTCTATACATTGAATGCTATATATACCTTTTCCTACAATTTGAGGTACCTAAATTTCAAGTACCTGAATTTCAAGTACCTGATTTTTTATCTGAGTTTGTAATGAATTCAATTACCTGAGCTTATGTTCCATTTTCAACATTTGAAAAAATATTCAGTAACGGAGAGTTATTTAATTCTAATTGATCATTCAGTAAATTACCCGAATTCCTGAATCTATTGATTTCTAAACATTCTAGAAGATTGAGTTTCAAACTCTTCTCTTCTAAATGTAACACATCGTATTCATACCTAATATAGTGACTAAGTGAGTTGATGTTATATAGTTGATGAAAATTCTTATGAGCAATAGTGTAAACAGAGAAATATTAATATCTAGAATTGGTGGAAAATCACAGAGATAAACAAATTCCAGTGACGTGCCTAAAGAGAAAAATGAAAACAAAAAATGGAGAATTGTCGCAAATGTAAAAATTCCGTTGATGCAAATCAACTATTCCAATGTTATAGCTGCAAAAAAATATGTGAAAGTCGTATCGACCTGACAACCTCTGAATGTGAATGTTCAC